TTCTGGAAATTGATGCATGATCGAGATAAACCGAAGTAATTCTTGAATTTAGGGGCCAAGGATACATAGACACTAGCCAGACATGTATTGCATACCGCATGTCCAAAAAACATGTCTCAGTTTTTCTGATGAGAGTTTTCCGGTCAAAATGGCATTATCCACCCACGAATCATATATCGACGGTGAAACTACCAAACCACGTATCTCGGTTTGCGACGTCGCAGACTTCCTGTCATACTTTATTTTTTAAATGAAAAACTACTTAACGTCCAGTCTTGAAAATTTCTGTGATTTTTCCTCATCGTGCGGAGAAAATTCTGTGAAAATTTCAAGGAATGATATTGATTTGGTCTACCTCAAAAAAATAAAATGCTAGCGTAGATTTTTAAACACCGCAAACGAGATACGTGGTTTGGTAGTTTCACCGTCGATATAAAACTGATCCGTTGTTTTGAGTCCGGAAGGACAAAAAATCATTTTATTCAGATAGCTATAATTGAGCTACTATATCTTATTTTTTGCTTCTGACCCCGAATCGACCTTTGTATTTTCCACAACCCACTAATTTTCCGAAAGATCGAGTTTGCAACAAAAAAAAAACCCTTATTCAGATGCCAAAAATACGCATTTGTAAAAACCTTCGGATTTCCAAAATATTGGTCAGAAGTATATATAAAAAAAAAACACGGCCATTCTCTGATCTAGCAGCAAACATATAGTTAGTGGAAGGTCCTCCATTAAGGACCTAGATAAAATAATTTTTCCGTTCTTTCGGACGAAAAACAAAATGATGCGTTCCACTTGGGGCTTTACAAGCGCATTATGTCATTTGACTGGAGAAAAATTGTTATTAGAAAAAGTGAGAGACATTCGTTGGACGTGCAATAACCTGTATCCTTTTGTATTACTCGATCCAAAAATTACCTTATTCATTTCTATCGGACACCAGTTCCCTCGTAAAATTAAACGTTCCTCGCATGGACGGACTGGCTCACATCTAAGAGCGTGGACCCTTGGCCAATTAAGGGGGTGTCGTATGATATTTCCCGGGGGGATGCACCCCCAGAGAAAAATTTTTAAAATTGAGCGTGTTAAAGTAACCGATGGACTTGTGAAACGAAAAAAAAAGAGAACAAATCACAGCTACCAGACGCATCCAAGCTCCGTCATTTCTAGAGATTCTGAGGCAGATCTGGCCACCTAAAATACTGCTTTTAAACACTAAAAGTCTGAAAATGATGAACCCAAGAAACATGACAGCTGGAAAGATCTTTTTAGCTTCCTTGATTGGAAAATGAAACATGCAATCTAGTTAGTACAAGGTGAAATTTTGAAGGAGAGAGAGAGAGGGAAAAAGAGTGTTGAGTCTAGCAAAGGACAAGGTGTTTAGTAAGGCAAGTAAAAACAAGAGATAGGAACAAATCAATTAAATGCATCAGGTATATACGGCAGGAAGATCCATTCAGCAATAATTTTGTTGGAAATGAGAATATTTTCAGACGTGACCGAACAATTGAAGCCTAACTTTGTGGGATAGCATAACCAAATTTTATTGAAATTCACAGACTGAATGGCCTATTTTGGATCCAATGTTGAATACTGACTTTTTGCGAGGAAGGTGCAGTCATTTTAATGATATTTTTATTAACACTTAAATGCTGAAGCCGGGTCAAATTGCGAGGCTTCCTAACAAAACCTGCCCCGCAGATTGGATGGGGCCGGTTCACGCGAGCTTTAGATGTTGGTCTGCAAATCATTCCAAAAAAGAATCGAGTATCAAATCAACACAGTCGAAGAAAGGAGGGACCTATTTGGGCCTCTTTTTTAACTTTTCTCCCTGAATCTAAGAGACACCTCATTGGCAGCACATAGCGGAGCATTGCGAGTTCATGCCCCGGGCCATTGCGCCTTCAATTTTGCAGATGCAACACGGACATCCATCAAGCACGAATAGTCGTATCTCTGCGCCGTGATCAACGCGAGTCCTTTCCCTTGCTCCATTTCCTTATTGTGTTGGTTTCGTTTGTCTTACTTGTAGTGGTGCTTTGAAGGCTACGTGAGCAACACAGTCGAAGGTAAGAAAAACGTAATCCGGCCTCGCTTTTTAACTTTTCTCGCGGATCTGACTAACAGCCTAGAGAAGAGCATATTGCGAATTCACGCCTCACGACTCACGCCATCGCGCTTTTAATTTTTCGCGATAGAGGATCACTTTCCGAGTCCAAAACACCGACGATTTTTGAAATCAAACAAGTACGGATAGAGAGAAAAGGGTTCAAAGATAAATATTTCAACTCGCATATCTCGTGAACGGTTTGTCGTAAAGCGATGATCTTAGTCTCAAAACATAGAGGAAACCACCACCTTTCAGACAATGATGACAAAATTGGTCCATTTTGAAAATTTCATCCATTGCTGTCACGTTGCCGCAATTCAAATTTTCAATTTTTAGCTGGGGCGATACCTTCATAGGTCACTCCTAGATTAAATCATTCGTCAAAAATGACAAGATGAGGATAAATGAGTAATATGCAATGGATACAGGGAAATCAAAGTTTTCGATCATAAAAAAATGTATGTTTACCTTCAACGGTTCGCTCGGTAGAAATAAGAGGAATTGCTAATAAAATCGTACCATTTGAGCTTTTTAAATTTAAGTCCATCCTACAGAAACGATTTGAAAAAGAGGCATGAATTTTTGTTGATGCAACGAGAGTCAGCTGAGGCTAGTCTTGTAACATTCATATGTCTCGATATTTTGTTCTTTTTTAATAATTTTCTTCGGGAATTAGCTATAATGGGGTATAAAAATGCACAACCTTGCAACTCGTGATTGGTTTGGGGGCATTTGGTGATCTTGGGATTCGGAACAAACCAGGTCCAAGTGTACCACATCCACTTTGAAAAATCATATCTCTCCTCCAACTTGTTTCCTCAGGATGAACTTGTGCTTGTTTTAAAGCTTAAACGGTCTACTTTCATCAAAAAATAGTTAGATTACTTTTTGTGCGATTCCTTCAACGTCGCAGCTAAAAAGGTGAAAAACTGAACATTTGAACTTCGGTAACGTGGCAAAAATGGATGAAATTTCTAGAATGGACCAATTTTGTAATTATCGCCTGAAAGCTGGTGGTTTTCTCTACATTTTGAGACCAATATCATCTTTCTACGACAAAGCGTTAGCGAGATATTGCGAGTTAAATTTTTTTACTTTGACTCTCCTCCCCCTCCCTCCGTGATCGTCCGATTTCAAAATGCGTCAGTGTTTTAGACTCGGGAGGAGATCCTCTATCAACTTTGAAAATATTTCGAAGATCAGGCCAAGGTTGAAACGGACAATTTGGAATGAGGTCCTTTCTTCCTTGCTCTAGTCACAAGAACAAGAGGCAAGTGAGAATGGGAATCGATGCGCGATACGTCATTACGAATCTTTGTTTACATTCCAAAGAGCCAAAAACGTGAATTCTCACGGTGAATGAGTGAAAATGTCTGTGTGTGTTTCATGTGCGTCTGTGTTAGTGACTACGCGCTCACAAAGGAACCAGTGCGTCTTCATGAGAGCGTTATCAGGCAACGCGCCGCGCCGCGCCGGCCGTCGCTAAATAGTCACCAGAGACTCTGCGTGAAACTAAATTCGGCGATAGTACATATACTAAGTGATAAGTTGTAATTATTGTGTGTTTTTTCAGCCTTGTTCCTACCTCTTCCTGTCTATTTTTATTCATACTAAATGACGTTCATGGTCACAAATGGTATAAAATACCGATGGTTAGCTGAGTTCTAAGTCTAGGTTGATAAGATCAACGTACCCGGTATTAATACATGTGTATGTATGGGTTCTGTAACGATCTTTACCAAAGCGATTGTATGGACACAGAAGCAATGAGAAGGTCGTTACTACCATGCACAAATATCAGCGGGAGAGTGGCCACAATTTCAATTCTGACAAAGTAAAGATTCTTTGTCCCAAGAAAGGGGATTTTAATCAACCAAAGAAGGGAATGATTACCTTCAATTTGAAGAGGAACTCTAAGAAATTTAAAAACGATTTTGTTTGCCAGAGATTCCCTTATAGAGATAATATATTGTTGAATAAAACACTTACTTTTGGGAGACTCTGTGTGAGGATGAATTTGAGCCATGAGACTGATTTTTGCTTGAGGATTGATTCCTGAAGTTTGGAGAAGGGTCTTTGTAATGCTTTTTGGAAAAGCTTCTCGGAGACCTAGAACGAGATCTAGATTTGCTTCTAGACCGTTTGCGCTGGAATTTCTCTGAGGATCTATAATTTAATTAAAAAATTTCCCGATCAAAATCATGAGTAAAGCAGAGCCTATTCAAATGTGTAATGTTTGGTGATCATTCTAATACTCTTTGTCAGGCAAAAGTTGGTTGAGATTATTTTAGAGGGCGGAAAACGGAAAATTTTTTGAACTTTCTGCATAAGTAAACACAAAATACAGTGGACTCTCGATAATTCGAAATTGAAGGGAATCGGTTTTTTCTTCGAATTAGCGAGGTTTCAAAATAAAGAGAGTTCGAATTAAAGAGATTCATGCGGAGGGATTTCGAATTAGAGAGGTTCGAATGTAGAGAACCAAATGGACGGATTTACGTCAAAAGGAACCAAATATATCAGTTTATTTCTTTACGGAGGTGAAAATTACACTAAGTTATTATTAAGTATTAATTATTTATATTTAATTTTAAAATTATTAATTACATGTTTACATTTTGACAATCCTATCAGCTCTTTCAAACACCCAGGTACATAAACAGTTGACTTCGAATTGTAGAGAGACTGTACCGCCTTATTTCGAATAATAGAGGGAGGACCATATTTACTTCCCACACTTCGAAATACAGAGAGAATTTCCGTCGCAATTTCAAATTATAGAGGGTCGAGCCAGCTTAAAAATTTCGAAATAACGAGGGGAGAAAAATACATTAATTTTCTTCGAATTATCGAGAGATTTCCCGGGGAAACGGACTTTCCTTCGAATTAACGATGTTTTTGCAGGGGTGCACAATACACTAGATCACGCTATAAATTATCGCTTGAAATTGTGGAAGGCCTTCCCGATTTTCGGAAGCGCGATCACGCGATAAAGTATCACGTGAAAATGTGGAAGCGTCCCAAATTTTGTGGAAATTTTTTTTCTTTCTTTCTTTCTTTTCGTTTCATTTCTCGCTCTTCACTTTGAATCTCATATTTTTCACCGAAACAAAAAAAAGGTCATCACTTTTTGTGGAAGGAGTCACGAAATTGTGGAAATTTTTTGAAAATTTTTTGTGGAAGAGGAAAAGCTTATCGCGCGAAATTGTGGAAGCATAGTAAAATGTGCACCCCTGGGTTTTCGAATTATCGAGGTTCGAATTATCGAGAGTCCACTGTAATGCTTCCTTGACTGGCTCAATGAGAACCAAACATCCTCAATTCTCTAAGTATCATCAAGTAACATCAAGAGTGCAAATTTTTTTCCTTTCAGCTTTTGGTAGAATTTTGAGAGGAAGCTTGCAAACCTACCTTACACTACAAATTGAATTATGACTGGAAATCAGGGAAAGAGAAAAAATAGAATGAACTGTGGTCAAATTTTATAAAAAATGGATAAATTTTCGCATACTCACTCGTGCTATTTAACATTTTAAACACTTACAATGTTAAAGAGCACAAGTGAGTATGCGAAATTTTACCTCTTTTTGTACAATATTGTCTTGTGACTGTCCCCTACAAAAGTTTCTATGAAGTTAAATATTAGTCTATATTAGATTCAAATATTTTTACATTCTTCTTTTCTTTTGCTACATACATAGAATCCCTTTGAAATTATTTAGATTGTCATCGAAATTGCAATTACAGTATTTCTAGTGATATTTTTGAAATTTCTACGAATAGATGATGGATAAAAGTTTTAAAATTTAGGATGGAAATATTGAGATTTTCCAAATTTTCCCCGCTTTTCTAAACGAAACATGTATGTATGTGACCACATCAGTGAAAAAGGATCGTATCTTCCAAGAGAAAACTTTTCTTGAGAGCGAAAACTTTTGAAACCAGCGATTTCGAGTTCCCAACAGGAAATGCTCTCTGGAAGCCTCTGGAGCAAGCTATGCATGATTTTAGTTGAATTTTCTCACCACAGAGTTGACTACCTGCTCTTCATCTGTAAATATGTCAGGGTTCTTAATTTCAATTTGACTGTTAAAGTCTAAGGAATTTTTGTCCTGGAACTTTAGGACATCAAATCTCCCTCAATTTTCAAGTTCTCAGGATCAAACTAGCGCCAAAATGTCCGAATTTTCTTACTCAGATGGTACAATAATTCTTCAAATTTTTAAAAGAAACGGTCCAATTTCATGGATTTGGTCTGATATTCAAGCCGCTAAATCAGCACAATGCAGTACTCTGCGACTTGTAATCGCCTAAAAGACTTATCCAAAGAAGATCCTAAGAGGTCATAAGGCAAATGACACCTCCTAATTTCTTTCTTCACACCCTTCCACAAACTTTTTACTGAACGTCCCTGTGGCCTTCTTCCGGGAGAAATTCAATCTAACACTTGTTTGAAAAACCGACTATTCACCATTCTCCTTCACAGGTTCATACAAAACCATCATTTACTTTGCTTTGATATCATATTCAGGGTTTCTCAGACCAATCATTTCTAAAGCCGATTAAGGAAGATAGAAAAAAGGGAAATACTTTTAGTGTTTGAAATAAGTTTCATACCGTTGATGGCTCCTTTTAGGCGAGGTTGACAGTGACCTGGAGCTTCTCATAAAAACTCTTCTAGTTTCATGTGCTGAGGTAGAACTAGGGGAAAGACAAATTTCAAATGAAAATATAGATTGAATCACATAAAAATAAAACTGTCCGAATTACACGGGGTGTTTCAGACCCACTGAACTAGGCTTTTCTATTTGTTATTACAGGTTGGTCGAGGTTGAGGACTGCAAGAATAAAATGGGAATTGGGTCCAGGGAATCCGAATTTCATCATTGTTCCAAATCCCCTGACTTCTCTTAATGATAAAGGAGGGGTCATGATTTTAAAAGTTGAGATTCACGGGATAATCAAGAGTTTATTCTATCAAAACCAGAAAGTATATAAATTTCAACCTGAATCATAGAGTACATAGAGTCGTAATGTAAGTGGGAGAGCTGGCGCCATTTTTAAGCATATTCCATGTCCCGAATTCCGAGACTCCTGTGTGACGCCGGGTCACTTTTTCGATACATAATCGATTGTTTGCGATACACGGGTACCCGGCCATCCGATGACAACAACAACAAAGGAGATAGGAATCACCACGTATTCCACACTGCCATTATGGATCGAAAATGTATCGAAAAAGTGACCCGAACTCGGCGCACACCGGGCTCGGAATTCGTCGAGCAGAACATGGCGCCAGCTCTTCCAATTACATTACGACTCTATGTACTCTATGACCTGAATCAACACCAAAAAGTCGAAAATTGGCCCATTACTATTTAGAATACTGCCAGCTAAAGATGGGGGACAGAGCCCCTTTCCACAAAACGCCAGGTCGCTAAATTGACGTGGAGGATTGGGGAAAGTATGGTTTTCTGAAGGGCTTGGCTACAAGAAATCAGAATTTGATGGTTCTGTGGCACCCTGAGACTTAGGTGATATAATTGTAATTTTTTTTTTTGGGGTCAATTACCCATAAAATTTATTTTTTCTGAACCTCTGTGTCTATTAAGAGGTTTACCTGTAGAAGGACATATTCCATCATACGCCAATCAATGATTTAACATCTTCATACCCTAGAGGACAGATCCACAAAGAACCCGGTACCATCCTTGTGGGAAATCTCCCAGGCTCCCCTAGACAAATCTCATGAAACTTTGATATGTTGCGTAGCTAGTCATTTTGATCAAAAGCTCTCACGGGCCCAATGAGATCTCGTGTGCAGTTTTCGAGATACTCGCCGTTTTACATGCGTGAACGGAGGTCCCGCTGGCCGGACCATTGTGCAGCACTACTCGTACCCTTCCTTCTCAGGCCCCTCTGGTCCCTCTACGCTTCTCCGCCACCCATACCCGAGGCTCGGAATCCAACGCTCGCGAGGCTTACCTCATTGTCACCAGCCTGGGTGGTCTTATCTGAGTGGTGATATGAAATTTTGCAAGGAACCTCCACTTCGAAAATAAATCTTCTCCCCCATTTGACCACCCAAGGATTGCCGAGGGAGCTTCAGGATGACCTAATTTGGTTTCTTTCAATTTGATTTCCCCTTAGATTCTGCAACTTGAATACAAGTTTCGGAGATATGGCAAAAGCGCAATTTGATTCTGCGATAAAGAGAAGGATGGGCATTTGTACAGGAAAGTGTTGTAAACAAATATTTTAGGAAGAGGAAATGATTTTCTGAGGAATGAGGATTTGTGACACGAAAAAGGCGAAAATGAAACATACTAAAAAATTAAATTAAATGTTGATACTACAGTGCAAAACTTTGTATCTCCGTCGCGGTGTTTCAGAATTTCGGCTTCTATTTTATTTGTTCAAAGAGAAACAAGCAAACTTCATACCTTGAGAATCATAATTACACAGAATATTCTGCTTACAGAGCAAACATTTCAAGAGAATTTTGATGAAAATACCCGGACTACTTTTCCAAAGAATAAATAAAGTATCACAGGAAGTCTGCAACTTTGTAAACGGAGATTCGTGGTTTAGCACTTTGATCATCGATTAATTTATGTTTTCGAAAAACTTATGGATTATGATAAGATGAGAGAGGAGAGAAAAATTAAGGGGTACAGAGTTTCACCCAGGCATTGAGAGCTTTAGAAATTCGCCAAATGGTTTACTTATGTACATATAGCCAGTAAAGAAATGACTGTTACTCAAGTATTTATAGTATCGGAGCCACCCAGTCAAGAGAACCTTTCAAATTTAAACAAGCATGTTTATTAAATTTTGAAAGATACACATAAATACAAACGCAAACGTTTCGATGCCCGGACAGCCCTTGTTTCTCCTGTTTGTTTTGCCGATGCCCTTGTTTCTTCATTATTGTTGCTGTTGTTGGAGTGGTAGCAGTTAATTCTTTGCATGATAGAGCGCATAAGTAGCCGCAATTCCTAATTCTGTTAACCACCGATCATTTAGATGCATGCTGTCATCTGATGAACAAAACTGAGATTTTATAGGTTAGCGAAATTCCTCACATTTACTGATCTCTGTCTTGGCTTATGTAAAATTGTAAAGTGCTGTTCATTTTGTTGTATTTTTTCGCTTGTTGTGGCTAGCATGTTTGAATTTGTAATTTTTTTCTTGCACTGATGATGGTGTCTGTTCGGGCATCGAAACGCTTGCGTTTGTACATACGTGTATCTTTCAAAATGTAATAAACATGCTTGTTTAAATATGAAATGTTCTCTTAACTGGATGGCTCCCATACTGTACATACATAGATACATACATACATACGAGATGTTGGAGTTTTTTAGCCAACATGCGTAAAAAATTCAGCTTAAAGCTGAAATCTCATTATAGAGGGAAAAAGCTCACACACGAGCACAATTTTCCCTCAAAGAGATATGCTGTTTGGAGCAACACTAGTTACGTCCATTCAGGAAGGCAACTACAGACGCGTTTCGGCCTTGTTGGACCAATCCTCAGTGCAGTGCAGCCTCCTAAATTTTCTGCTACCAAGCTCGAGAGGTTGTGAAAACCAGCCCGAGACTTGGACAAGCGAACGCGGCGACAAGTAAACTTGCGCCATCTAGTGAGCGATTATCCAAACAGCTCCGCATAATGCCTGGCAAGGCGATAAACACCAACCAATTACGGTGAACGCACGGGTCGAAAGACGAGATGTTGGAGTTTTTTAGCCAATGTGCGTAAAAAATTCAGCTTAAAGCTGACATCTCATTAGAGAGGGAAAAAGCTCACACACGAGCACAATTTTCCCTCAAAGAGATATGCTCCAAAATCCAACAAAAAAACTCCAACATCTCGTCTTTCATACATACATGTGTTAATGGCTAAATTGTTAAAAGCACCAAATAAACGTATCTACCAACCAACCAACCAACCAACCAACCAACCAACCAACCAACCAGACATACATACATACATACACCCTCTAAGGTGTTAATGGCTAAATTGTTAAAAGCACCAAATAAACGTATCTACCAACCAACCACACATAAACACACACACACCCTCCCTCCCACACACACGAAATTTGCCGCCCGGTGCCACGGCACCGTTGGCCCTCCCCTGAATCCGGCTGTGGCACTCAGTAGGTTTTCAAATTAGTTACCTGTGTTTTGCTTTGGGAGATTTAGATCGTGACCGGTGACCAGTGCGCAAGGAAACATGCTTGTTCAAACTAAAAAAAAGAAGGCCAAATGAGCCATCAGAATAAACTGAAGATTACATACAGTAAAATTTTGATTATTATGTTCAATACAACCTGGATTTCTTGTAGATCTTAAAGTAATTGTGAGACGGCGCGAGGATTGCACTCTAGTGTCAAGCTTCATGCTATGTCTATGACCATTGCCAGGCCCAGATTTCCTCGAAATATAGTGTGGAACCGGCACTATTGTACTATTCCGTTTCTTACAATTTGGACCACATTCAAAGTTGTTTCTTTTCTTAACTTAAAATAACGAAACTATCAAACTGTACAAAATTGAGATTGAAAAATCCTGAATGGGCAGCCTTCAAAGCTGGGGAAGTTTTGAATCATTTAAAAGTAGGAAGAGTCAACTATTTTAGCTAATCCACATCTAGGGATAACTGGATAGCATTTTGCAATTCGGAACTATAGGCAGAACGGTAGGTTTTCAGGAGAGCAACTTTTGCAAAAACCATTGGCGTTTTTCATCAAAACGACCAATGTTGCGGTTTGATGGTTCATTTTATAGCTATGGAGTTCCTTTAACACCCTGTGTTGACAGATTCGTCAAAAACATCATACTGTTGCCAATAATTACAAAAAAAGGTTATAGTTCCTTATTGCAAAATGAAGAATCCGGGGAAGCTCATTTTGCAATTAGGAACTATAGATTGTTTTAGCACTGACTGCATGGGGGAGACGACCCTGGTGTCATTATTACAAACTGGAGGGTTAACCCCAACAGAGAAAACACCCCTTCCTTCCATCATACGAGGAAGGGGGGAGGTGCATTGTCCCTACGGAAAGATATTCTACAAAAAACAGGGTGTGCCAAAAATATGGATACCTACGGACTTGCTAATATTTCGAGAACGGTGGCAAATATTAACATGCAATTTGGACGGGAGGGTTTATAGATTTGATTGACATGAATCGATCAAAAAATGAAAGCATGAATCGATCAACACCGACTCGATCGACAAATTATTGAAAAACCAGTGTCATGATTCCGACATGACCGACATGAATCGATCGAAAAGTTAGAACATGAACCGATTGACGTGATTTGATCGGCACTGATTCGATTGATGACTGTGAATCGATCAAAAACCAGCGAATCGATCCGCAAATCCGTGAATCGATTGACAACCCCGTGATTCGTTCGAAAAATCCGTAAATTGATCGATAAACCCTTGAATAGGTCAACAAACCCGTGAATCGTGAAATTTTGAAAATTCGAAAATCCAAGATTGAGGATGTGGCCTATAATGCTATCTCGGCTCCTGTTCGATCGATCATGCTGATTTTCGGGGTCAGGGGGTATTTTTGGACGGGAAACTCGAATTTCTGGTCAAATTTTGAAAATTCAAAAATCAAAGATGGCGGATGTGGCCTAAAATGCTATCCCGGCTCGTGCTCCATCTATCGCGGTGAATCTTGGTACCAGTTAGTATTTTTGGATGGGAAACTCGAATTTCTGATTTTGAAAATTCGAAAATCCAAGATGGTGGATGTGGCCGAAAATGACCTTACTTGAGTAAGTATCCCCTGGGGGATATTTCATTCTTCGGACACACGTTTAAAGGGGAGCTCAGAAGACGCAACCTCAAACTTGTTTTTCGTGGATTGAAATGCGAAAAATATCGGAGAAATTATTGTGGCTTATGCGTAGTAAATACTTCAAAAAACGCAAAAATCAAAAATCACCGAACAAGCTCAATGTCAAAATTTGAAATATTTCAATTTTTCGAAACTTGGCTAGGAATTTGAGTTTCCCGGCCAGAATTACCCCCTATACAACCAAGATTCACCACGATAGGTCGAGCAGCCCGAGATAGCATTTTAGGCCACATCCGCCATCTCGGATTTTCAAATTTTCAAAATTTGACCAGAAATTCAAGTTTCCCGTCCAAAATCCCTAATAGCACAGTTACACAATGGAATGTTTTTAAATTTTTCAAATTATGTCAATCTCGGATTAGTCATTGACATTTGTTTCCAATAAATTTTCAAATGGAATACATGAAATGGGCAAGTTGGCCGTGTCTTTGAAACGTATTGAAAACAAATCGAAAATGTTTCTAATTGCGGTCATTCAAACTTTTTTAAAAATAAGTTGGAAACGTTTCAAACTTATTTCAAAAAGGCATAAATAACCCACCCAAAAAATGTGTAAGAATTGTGTCAGCTATGTGTTGTCAATATATTGCAGTCCGTTCAATAAACTATAGCAGAAAGGTTTCAAAAACATTTCAAAACCATTGCCACAGCTAAGCCTATGATTGAAACATATTTACGGAACATTTCTGCCACAATTTATGTGAAAATCAATGAACCTTTATTGACATCCATCTGAAAAAATTTGTAATTGTGTCAATTTTTTTTTTAACGACCTAGGCACAAATTCATATTAGATTTGTGTACGATATGTTGGGAAAGGAGATCAACTAAATATTTTGGAAACATTTCTAAAACATATTTAAAACGTCGCTGCAGAAATTCTTGGAAGTTCGAAGTTTCTGAGAAATAAACCTGACATATTTCTGACACAATTTAGCAACGTTTCCAAGATCCTTCAAAAACATGTTTCAGAAACAACTGGCAGATATTTCGTATTTTTAATCTGATAAGGTACAGCTATATGTTGAATCTATGTATGAAACGTGACGGAATGGTATTTGAAACGCCTTCAGATTTTCGTGTACGAATTTCCCTCATTACTCTCTAGTTGAAATACTCGTATCACTCTCATTTAATTGATCCGCGGCGATCGTACGTCATAACCATTTATAAAATTAATTTAAACGCATAAGGGTAAGGAAATTTATTTCAGAAATGTGTCGGGAATATATCAGTTAAACAAAACAGTGCCTTGATTGTCATTTAAACCTGGTGAACACAAGTTGAAAACATTTCTCAGACCTTTCTAAAAAATTTTCCTAGATCAAACTGAACCTACCAGAGAGCGTTGACGTTTCATTTTCCAATTTTACCAAATTTTGGTTTATTTTTTTGTCTCAAGGTTTACTTTTTGGCTATTTAATTATGCAGAGTTAAAAATAGTTTTAAATTCTTGGTATGCATCGCATTTATCTCCATAAGAGCTTATAAGTTATGGATTATCTAAAATATTGAAACTGTACATCATGCTTTGCGTATACTTTTCTAAAGTGAGGACTTCCTAATCCCTCTGATAGTTTAGTACTGATGGAGTGAACCCATAGTTCCATACTCTCCTTAGGCACAGTCTGTAATCAGGCCGCCCAGGCACTTGATTTGATAGCTATAATGCCTCCACGACATTTGCTAAAACAGATGTCTGAAAATTTTTTTACGGTTAAGAAGTGTGACATGCGGATGTATTCAACACAGAGTGGGCTCGTGTTCAACACTACATGGACTGTAGTGATTATACCGAAAATGTGTCATAAACATTTAGAAAATCAGAGGAAAATCTGAGTTAAAGGCTCATTGTTTTACAAATGTGTCAGAAATGTGTCAAAAATGCACTGCCAACGGAGACCTTTGCCCATTGTGTCATTGAAATATGTAAAAAATGAATTCGAAACATTTCGGTGACACAATCTGCAAATGTTTCACAGGCACATAAAATGTGGTGACATGGGAATGTGTTGAACACAGAGTGGCTTCGTGTTTGACACTTCATTCGGATTTTTAAAGTATCACGTGAAACATTTCAGAAATGAGGCTTGGTGTCATTGACACGTTTTAAAAACATCTCTAAGACTAGGTGTGCTATTACGGTACCTCCTGGTACCAAAAATCAGCAAGATCGATCAAACAAGAGCCGGGATAGCATTTTAGGCCACATCCGCCATCTTGGATTTTTGAATTTTCAAAATTTGACCAGAAATTCGAGTTTCCCGTCGAAAAATACCCCCGGATACCAAAAATCAGCAAGATCGGTCGAACAGGAGCCGAGAATGCCGAGAAAGCATTATGCCGTCCTGTCTATAGTTCCGAATTGCAAAATGGGAAATCCGAGTTTCGCATTACGCGATAGGGAACCATAGTATAGGTCCCAATTGCAAAATGAACTTCGCGTGATCCTGCGACGGCAAATTTTTGCGGGATCGCTGAAGCGGGATAAAAATTGTTTTTGAGGATTTTTTTTTCCTCAATAGTAAGTAAATACCCTCCTGATACGGAATTCATCATAAAAAAAAAATCGAAAATTTGACCCTAGTTCCTTATTGCATAAAGCTGTCCAACTCATTTTGAAATTCAGAACTTATGGTTGAAAACTCAGATTAAAATTATTTGGTTTTGTTTACCTCGCAGAATGAAGCTTGGGAGTCACCGATTCAGCAGTTGAAGAAGTAGATGGATTCTCTCCACCAAAACTTGTGATGAATGTTATTTTTTCAGCAGCTGGTGGAGAGGGTGACCGAGACTTTGAGTGCAGCGGTGAAAACTGTGACAGATCGTGGGTTGGGCTCCTTTTTGCATAGCTTTAGAAATAAACAAATAAAGACAAAAATCAATGCAATTGAGGAGTTTGCCTGTAAAAGTGCACATCATAAAACTGGTCCTACTCTTAAAATTTGAGTCTAACAGAGTCTAACTAAACAGAGTTTGCGCATCTTTGCGAACACACAGTCATGCTTTTATGTTGATCAGACGCTCCAGTGCAAAATTAAAGGCCAAAAAGTGCAAAGTCACCTTCTCAAAGCTCCACATGAGTTTCATTCAAAACAAATATTTGCCAAAGACGCCTTCCTACAGAAAAACTCTTCAATTATTAATAAAAGACAGCATAAATGAAGAAAAAAAAAATTATAAAAAAAAGACAAAAAAGAAAAAAAATTATAAAAACAGACAAAAAAGAAGAAAAAAATTATAAAAAAGGCAAAAAATAAAAAAAAACTTGATATAAAAAAGGGGAAAAAGGAAACAAAATAATAAAAAAAGGCAAAAAAGAAAAAAAAAATTAAAAAAGGTGGAAAGTTGGGATAGTCAAACCTGGAAAAGCACACGATGCTGCAGAAAAAAATTCCTAATTACAGGACTTCAAAGAGAAATGATAATGTAGGGATTGAATATTTTTCATATACTTCGAAATAATTAGCCAACCGATTAAGTATCTTACTAAAAATACTTTCTCAGCAATTCAAAATTAATAAAATCGCTTTATAAAATGAAAAAACGAAACCTCGCAAACAACTTCATTAATTTTTGCCCATAAACTTGATAAAACACACTTTTTCGTCATAAGCTACGAGGAGAATTCGTAAAGTATGTATATATCTTTATTTTCTCCGAAACTAATCAAGATAAATTTAATCGGTAAAAATTGTTTTTACCGCCATACTCTCAGCTTTTCAAAACGTCTTCGTTTTTCAAATTTGGTTTACCGGTTTGCGAGTGACGTCATTTTTCCCGCGCCCATCTCTCATCACTGCGTGTCAAAAATATTCGAGTGCGGCGGAACTCCTCAGACGAGTACATGCTACAGTGTTTTAGGACGCTGAAGGAATATTACAGATCGATTTCTTGGAGTGAGGAAAAACGACCAATGCCACATGATACTGTGAAGTTTTGAAAAAAATTAAGTCAGCGATCAAGCGAAAACAGCCCGGTCTTTTGTCTCGTAAAGTTTTGTTCCTTCAAGACAACGCTAGGCCTAATGCGGCTCATGTGACTCAAAACTTGTTGGCCTCATTCAAATGGGACCTTTTTCCTCATCCATCGTACTCACCGGACCTTCCTCCAAGCGATTTTCATCTTTTTCTTGCATTAAAGAAGAGCTTGGATGGCCAAAAGTTCTCCATCGATGCAGAGTTGCAAGAAGCTGTAAAAAAATGGTTCCAACGACAGGATGCGCAATTTTTTGAAGATGGAATCCGCAAACTACTAGCACGGAATCAGAAATGTGTTTAAGTGGGTTGAGATTATGTCGAAAATTAAGGTAAGACAATTCAAAGCCTGAAAGTTTCACATATTTAACCAATTAACTGTGTTAGAACCTTCTTTACAGTGAAAACATGTACTCGTCTGAGGAGCACCGCCACCGCCGTGCTCGAATATTTCGGACACGCAGTGACAGGAGATGGGCGCGGGAAAAATGACGTCACTTGCGAACCGGTAAACCAAATTTAAAAAACGAAGACTTTTTGAAAAGCTGAGAGTATGGCAGTAAAAACCATTTTTACCGATTTAATTTATCTTGATTAGTTTCGGAGAAAATACAGATATATACTTACTTCACGAATGCCCCTCCTATCCAGAGAGCGCAGAGAGAACACTATTGTAAATGTTCTATTATCCGTGAACTTTGAGTGCCTGCAATCCTTTACCCTTAGATGACTAACCGTTTTTACCCACACGAATGCCTAACCCGAATGTATTGAGAATGTATGGTTATTTCATAACTGCGATGCTTTTTTCTACGTTTTTTGAGGAATTTTATGATTTTCATACTTCGTGTTCTATTACCAAGGTCCTAAATTGTCCTTCCACCCATAAACTGCCCCCCTCCCCCTCTATATCTCCTTATTCCCTCAATCTATAATTTGACAGGGCCTCCTTTAAGTTAGCGTTCATAGGCGTTATGTATTGCTGTTATTTATGGAATACTTCTACATTATTTCAAACTTTTCGACAAGTTAGAGAAAATTTTGGATATATTACTGACAGTGAATTATGAGATAAACGCAGGACAAAATTTCTTGTGAAGTTTCCGATAGTTTTCATGGGGTTCTCCTATTATAGTTGTAGCTGAGAGGTGGTCATAGAGGTAATATACTGTCTAAGAACTGTAAAAGCACCAAGCGCTATTTTCTTACAACTAAAAGGTATCGCCTTTACATATTCACTGTATCACAAGAAGCACCTAAAAGCATAATAATAATAAGTAAATAATGAGTCTGATTTTCTTGACCTTCAGTGATTTATTTTATGTTTTGTTTTTCCTAAAATCTGTCCTACCTATGTATTTTTCGGTGTTTTGTACGTTGTCTTACTACTGGAATCATTATTCATTACCTACTTTTACTTTTTGACGATCTAAGAGTTTTTACGAATTAAATTTAGGTGTTTCTTGTGATACGGTGAATATGTAAAGGCGTTAATTATTAATTCTAAAAAAATATGTAGAGGACACCCTGTCAAATCATGGATTGAGGGAATAAGGCTGGAAATGAGGAGATGCGCTCTGCCGGAGGTGCTCTGGCAAGATCGCTATCAGTGGCGGTTGGGTGTCGCAGAGCGCACAGCGGCGCCATGAGAGCGACTTATTAGTAGTAATAGTACAAAAATACATTTTACACTTTTATTTTCTTTTCTTGAAATTAAAATATAAACCTTCTAAGTGCAAAACTTTGAAAGAAATACATCGGAAAATACTACTTTTTTTGCTACCGGAAGGAGGGGAGGGGGGAAGGGTTGGGCAAGGTTGCCCCCCCCCCTCTCAAATTCAAGTATACTTATAGGGGTAATAATGTTTCTTCAATGTTACTTCCTCAAAACCTCAAAAAATATAAAAAAATGTGTTTATAATGAGAGGCTCCTAGATCTGAGGGGACTGGGGGATGAGGGGGGAGATTTAGAGGGGGAGGGGGGGGGCAGTTTATGGGTAGAAGGACAATGTGGGACCTTGGTAATAGGACACAAAGTATGAAAATCATAAAATTCTTCAAAAAACATAGAAAAAAGCATCGCAGTTATGAAAAAACCGTACATTCTCAATACGGGCCTCGCAGGCGCGGGTTAGTCATTATAGGAGTAGACATGAAAAAAAATTGCTGAGCCTAAAAAAATTTTTTTTGAAATTTTTCTTCTGGAATTATGTTTTTAAGGGTTTTTGTAGAGCTATTTGTAAAGGACAGACTTCTCGGATAATTACAGCTGCCGTCGCGCAAAAATAAGAGGCCGCCGGGCCTCATAGACCCGGTTAGTCATCTAAGGGTTAAATGCACAACCAGCTTAGCTCATTTGAGTGTTTCTTAATGTTTTTAGAGTCTAAACTAAAAAGTTATAAAAAACTATCCTTGATAGGGAACATATTTTGATTCTTGCGGGGGAAAAAATATTATTCTTCAACAATACTGTTTTACCTGGGAGGACTTATTTTTCGACCCATCAGTCTTTTTTCTCTAAAAGCTCTTCTTTCTCTTCGAGATTTGCGCCCCTGAAAATTTAATGAGATCCTCATTAATGAAACATGTGATCAGCTGTGTTCGAACAAAAAAATTTAAGGGCATAAGTGCATCCAGGGACGGACTGGGACCGAGAAAGTAATTAGAAATGGAGGACCATCTGTGCTAAAATCGACCAATTTTGATCGTTATTTGCCGTGAGAAGGAGAAAAACCCGTTCAAAATTACCCTGAAAATCGGCCAGCTGAATGGAACATTTGCCGATTTTACTACTTGCTCGTCTTTGGGTGCATCATTCCTTTCATTCAGACCCAAGGTATTATGAACGTATAAAAATCAAAGTGACATATTATTAAACAGGGTTATTCAAAATCGGCGATTTTACCCTATCCTTGGATTTTGCCCGGAGTTGGATATGTTGTTCCCTATCACAAGACACGCCTTTTTCCGGAATTGGCAAGTTCACCCGAAATTTTTCCCGCGCGCTACAGCGTTGCCAAGTTGAAAACGGGCAAATTCCGCAAGTGGCATTAAAATTGAGCTACGAAGTTGCGGTTTTAACGAAAATTCTCTAAAAATTGCGCACTTCTAGGAAATGACCATGTTTTTGATGTCGCATTAATTTTAACATGCGTTGTTGCCAATTTTTCGATTTGTAAATTCGACAAATTTTACAAATCCGCGAATACCCCAAAAAGCTAATTTCAAATTTGAATGAAAAGTTGTCTAATCAATAGTTCGTTTGATTTCGCATCCATCGATATATTATAGCTCGCTGGGAAACTTTTGGTTAGCGAGATATCATCATTTTTGTAAACAGCTTTATGGAGCGACGACGCTTTTTGAGTCCAGGCAGATAGAAATTTTAGCCTCCAAAAACACCGGGTAGCATTAATTCCATGGTTTCCTACATAATTTTTGGCGCTGAATCCGAATTTGACCATTTCATAAAAAAATTGTCACCAAGATGTTGCCAAATTTCGCAAAAATGGCTTAAAATAGGCCTTTTTGGCGGATTATGGCCAGTGACTTGCCAGGAGTTGATCAGACGACAAAATTGGTTATTTCCAGTTAAAACTCGTTAAACTTTCTACTAGCTGAGTCAAATTCTTTCTGCTAACGGCAAAATTAAACGCGCGACAAGCAGCAAACTGAAAAGAAGACACCAAAATTGGCGCTTTTTGCAGTTTTTGTCCTCAGTTTCTTGTTTTCCGACTAAATGAGCATTTCCTAGGAAAATCTGAATTACACAGAGTGTAACGACAAACTATTGTATTGTTACATATATGGATAAGAGCCGCTTTAACAGCGGTCTCTCGCGCCCCGCAATGCCTAACCGTCATAGTTCCTTGTCCTCTCACAAGTCCTCAGTAATTTGGAGCGTCCTTGTTTCTTTTTAAGCCCCTTATTGCCCTTTCCTGGGCGTCTTCTTCACTTTGGTACTGTTACTTTTTTCTAATAAACTCCATTTTCTCAGAATTATAAAATAAAATTGTATACTGAATATAGGACGATGAATAATAATGGTCAAATACCGCCAAAATTCGATGATTGTACGTAATTTTGGCAATATTGCAATGCGTCTTGTTTTGTTTTAATGAAGTCAGTCTGAGGAGTACATTTTATTCATTACTTTTTAGCAGAAAGTTTTCCATGATTGTTTCAAAATGTTGTTTATTGGCACGATTCGATAAAACTCACTATTTTATGAATTTTTCCTCTCTGAACTAAAGACCCTAGTAATTAGTATATATCTAAGTTGACATTAAAATATTCTACAAAAGTGTATTATTTTGCACGAGAGATACATTTAAATAATTTAAAAATAAGAAGTGGACAAAGAATATAGGACAAATATCGAAAAACCAGCGAAAATTCGAGTATTTTGTTTAAGATTGGCAACACCGGAATATGTTCGATTTTATTTTACTGTTCATTTATATTAAATTCTGCTCATGTTGTTCATTAATTTAGTCAAGAAACATTTTCTTAATTGGAAAACAAGAAACTTAGGACGAAAGCTGCAAAAAGCGCCAATTTTGGTGTCTTTTTTTCAGTTTGCTGCTTGTCGCGCGTTTAATTTTGCCGTTAGCAGAAAGAATTTGACTCAGCTAGTAGAAAGTTTAACGAGTTTTAACTGGAAATAACCAATTTTGTCGTCTGATCAACTCCTGGCAAGTCACTGGCCATAATCCGCCAAAAAGGCCTATTTTAAGCCATTTTTGCGAAATTTGGCAACATCTTGGTGACAATTTTTTTATGAAATGGTCAAATTCGGATTCAGCGCCAAAAATTATGTAGGAAACCATGGAATTAATGCTACCCGGTGTTTTTGGAGGCTAAAATTTCTATCTGCCTGGACTCAAAAAGCGTTGTCGCTCCATAAAGCTGTTTACAAAAATGATGATATCTCGCGAACCAAAAGTTTCCCAGCGAGCTATAATATATCGATGGATGCGAAATCAAACGAACTATTGATTAGACAACTTTTCATTCAAATTTGAAATTAGCTTTTTGGGGTATTCGCGGATTTGTAAAATTTGTCGAATTTACAAATCGAAAAATTGGCAACAATGCATGTTAAAATTAATGCGACAACAAAAACATGTTCATTTCCTAAAAGTGCGCAATTTTTAGAGAATTTTCGTTAAAACCGCAACTTCGTAGCTCAATTTTAATGCCACTTACGGAATTTGCCCGTTTTCAACTTGGCAACGCTGTAGCGCGCGGGAAAAATTTCGGGTGAACTTGCCAATTCCGGAAAAAGGCGTGTCTTGTGATAGGGAACAACATATCCAACTCCGGGCAAAATCCAAGGATAGGGTAAAATCGCCGATTTTGAATAACCCTCTTTTGGAACAACCCAAAGTTTCTTTTGCTAAAATTTTCCGCCTCAGACCTTACTGAGCCCATTTTTTCAAAACTTCATTTCTGCACTTAGAGCTCTCTTCACTATCACGGCAGAATGACAGTTTTGGGGTTTATGTCATCTTAAGGCTGAATGCCAACTGCAATACCTGGAATTGTTTGTTTATTAGCTGAAATTATTTTCAATCAATAGTTTTCTAAAATAAAAAAGTTTGAAATAGTTTGAACTTACAGAGTACAAGGCTTTTTCTTCTTCTTGTTCTCTGGCCAGTTTTAAATTTTCTGCTTCCTCTACATCTTTCGTCAAGAAACTGAAGAAGTCATTACTGTTCATCCCATACATGTGCGCACAAGAATTCAATTCATTTGCTTGTTGAGTATTCACCTTGTTTACATCTAGAGTCATATCTGGAATAAAGTAAGGAATTAAATGACAGCAGGTGTTATAAGAGTACCATTCTCCGCAGCAAAAGCAGCAGAGGTTCACTTTTATCTGTTCTGAGCTGGGTAAGTTGAAATGCTGTTTATCAAATATATTGGAAGCGCAGAACTTTATCTTCTTCTGCTCGGCTGTTAGCACCTGCACGGTGACCAAACTTTAAAATTCCCAAAATCAGTCCATTATAAGGCATGACATTGAACTGGTTGCAGGCTATACATTAGCAGAAAGGTCTGTGATCAAGAAATATCTGACAGACACTAGTCACCATTGACTTCAGGAACCAATCTACTGTTTAACCGTCAACATGGCATATTAATTTGGCATTAATCCGAATGGCATGGGAATNGGGGGGGGGGGGGGCTGTGACGTTCCGTCCGTAAGCCATTGTGTAATGAATAGTTTTTCCCGATATTTCCTTTCCCTGACCCACTGTACGACGGAAAGCTTGTTTGAAAACCTCCTACCCCTGACCCACTGTGCGACGAACAGCTTGTCCAAAAACCTCCTTCCCCTGGCCCATTGTGCAACGAATATTTTTTCCAGAATCCTCCTTCCCCTGACCCACTGAGCAATGGAAAGCTTGTCAGAAAACCTCCTTCCCCATACCCACTGTACGACGAACAGCTTGTCTGAAAACCTCCTTCCCCTGACCCACTGTGCGACGGATGATTTGTCCAAAGACTTCTTCCCCATGACCCACTATACGGCCCCACTCATGCCGTGCACACCCTCACCAGAAACTTTCAAAGCTCGCCATTTTTAAACCGCTCAGCCGATTTTGCTCAGATTTAATACGAAACCAGTTCTAGAGGAGAACTTTTACCCATAAAAATTTCAGCTCAAAATATTCATTTCAACTCTAGTTATCGAGTGGACAAGATTTGACCTCCCTCAACTTTCGAGCCTTGCCCCTCAAATTTATTGCCTTAAATTTCAATTTTTTTTCGCAAAATAGTAGCTCTGATGAGGAACTACTCAAAAATCGAAAAATCTTAAAAAGGCAGACATAAATACATTCATGCATAAATACACACCAACACACACACGTGAATTTAAATGACATATATTTTTGTGATCCACTGCCTGTGACTGGTGCTCTTCACAAGGTCTCAGGTCTGGGTCCGACATCATGGGAGAATGCAATTGGGTATTTTCTTCGGAAAATACACTAAACAGAACGAGACACGTAGTGAGACTCATCCCACTAATCAGTCCTACTCTGTTCTAAATTCAAGGCGACACTTGCAATGGGATATTTTTTTGAGACTGAAATTAATTATTCCCTATCATGAAATGATTTTGAAGTTGAGAGATGAACTAATAAAAGGAAAATTTTCGAAGGGTTAAAGGCTTTTGTTCAAAATTTAGTCTTACTACAAAACTCACAGTGTGAATTCTGGTAATTCAGTCAATTTCTTGTTATCGCCCTATAACCCCAAATTTTGCAGTATCTCAGAATCATTCAGCTTGCATTAAGAGACAATGAATACGGTCCTATGTGCCCATTTAGAGTGAAATTGAAAAGTTAGATTTTGAGACATTGCTGTACACACATATTCCGAGACACTGGATGGAGAGACATATATACAGGGTGATCCAGACCACGGTGGACGGGTGGTCTGGATCACCCTGTATATTTATTTTTTAAGGTATGGGTTTTTTCACTTCAGGCACTTTAAAATGCTCAGAAAGCACAGGGTTTCAGTATTTTTTTTTTTTTTTTTTTTTTTTTTTTTTTTTTTTTTTTTTTTTTTTTTTTTTTTTTTTAAGGATGCTGATACTTCCTCTGTCAGCAAGGGGAGCAAGAAAGCAAAAGTATTGCTGTTTTGACATCTTCACATTGACACGGTTCATACAATAATTGAAAAATGGAATATTTCTTATTTATCCCTTCCTTGCTAAAGAGGTTGTTCCATCCCCCATTAGATTTGGCCCCCTATCAGATATGATCCATCTTTTCAGGAGTGATACAGTAGCATGCGAGACGTTCAAATATGGCGGTCATTTTGACTTAGGCCCCCCCCAGAGAGGGGGGGGCGGGGGGTCAAAGTCAAAACCTTCAACTGCCTATAACTTTTGAGCGAAAAATCGGATTGAGTTGAACTTGTTTTTAAATGAAAGATCTCAAAAAGATCTATCTGCTGATACCAGAAAAATTGAAAAAAAGTTAAATTTAATGCATATTTTTAGCAATTTTTCAATTTTTTAGGGGACAAAATTTTCAATTTTGTCGTGTTTCGGCACCGCGCAATGACTCTACTAAAACAAAAACCAGTTTTTTAGATTCTACACTTAATTTCCTACAAGATGCAAAAAACCGCATCTTGGGGAAACGTTTAGATCGCGAGCTATGGCTCGTCAAAGTTAGCTCCGCGCTGAGCGCGCGCGCCCTGCGCTGTTCGCATATCCTCTGCGCGTCTGCCACCGATCCTGTTGCCCCTCCTCCCCCTTCCTAAATGCAAATTAACATTCTACTACCCAGCTTTCGTATGTATCTGCGTTATAGGTGCGTGAAAATTTCAGCAAGTTCGTGATTTCCAGTGGCATTGATGCTTTATTTCGCTCCCCCCCCCCC